TATATCTTCACATGCTGAAAAAGAGGGACACCCACATTGTTGGACCAGCGTTTAATTGTGTGTCTGAGGTAAAATGCTACTATTGTATTTCCTGTACTGGTGCACACTTTTAGCACTTGCTGTCAGACACAGTGATCTGTTAATTTACATATGAAGAAAAAAGAATAAAATTAGCCGTGCAAATTTTTCCTGTGAAATTAAGCGGTTGATATGAATGATATTTGTGCATTTGCTGTGTTTTCAGAGGTGAAAATAAAACTCAGATAATGGGAGGAAATACTTTACACAATTTTCACACTTGAATATGAAAAACAGGTAAATAGTTGGGGTTCACCTAAAAGGTTTTCATACCTTTAAGCATTGATGATTCCTTTCTAGATGAGCAATCTGGTTATTCTATATATGCACCATCAGAGATGTAGTCTGTAAACAAATTGCTGATAACAAGCGGACTAGCCTCTCCCCTCTTTAATGTTTCCCAAAAGACAATTTCAATTAATCTGACCAAAGAACAGTTTTCCACTTTGCCTCAGTCCGTCTTAAATGAGCTTCAGCCCAGAGAAGATGGCAGGTTTCTAGATCATGTTATCTGCATGAACTGTGTTCACAGACAGTGATTTCTGAAGTATTTTGTGCAGCCTGTCCTATGAAAGAAACATGTCTTTTGTCAGTGCGGTGCTACCTGAGCTGTTAAAGATCATGGGCAGCCAATAATAATTTTTGACACAATTTTCTGCAGACTCTGGGATTTTTTTTTTTGGTAATATTACATATTATAGAGATTCACAGTCTTCACAATGTTATGTTGAGGACCATTATTGTAAAATTGTTCCACAATTTGTAGACAGATTTTTGCAGATTGGTGAATTTCTGCCCAAACTCTCTAGGACACCTGCCGTTTCTTTTTAGTTTAACTTACTTTTCCTGTATTTTTAAAGGTTGCTGCGATAAATTTTAAAGTATGCCAATATTTTTCTTGAAATTGTAAAATGTCTCACTTAAAACAGTTGATGTTTTTATGTTCTTTTGTAAATAAAATATGGGTTTATGAGTTTTGCACATCGTTGCTGTCTATATTTATTTGCATTTAGTAACCCAACTTTTGGCATTACGGTTGTAGTTTGTTATTTAGGCATTCACACTCAGATCAGCTGGTTGTTGTGTTTGTAGTTTGTAGTGTGCTGTCAACAGACAAGATGCAGAGTGCACTTGTTTCTTATGCCTCTTCCCTATTTTTTAAATTCTCATTTATTAACAGTTACAAATATTAATACAATTATTGGCTGAATATTGGCCACAAATATCCACCACCGATAAATCGTTAAGGCTTTAACCTTGACAATCCTACATGAAACTTATGGTAACCTTTAAAAAAAAAAAGAGAGAGTACTTGTGGTTCTGAAATGTCTGGTCCAAACTAGACTTAATAAAAAGCCTGCACATAAAAAAAATCAAATTTTAAATAACCATCAGCATTTTTGTCAGTCAGTTTGGTAATAAAATGTAAGTGTGCAGAAAGAAGGACTGTCCTTATTTTCCTGACATACTCAAACAGAATAGAAATGTCTTCTTAGGAGATCACATCTAAAGAATTTGGTCCCAAAGCCAAAAGAGGGCTGGGAATGTCTTCCAAACTGTTCTTCAGTTGCCTTTAGTCTTACCTGGACATTTAGGATCCCTCTGAATGTGCAGCAGTAAACAATTTGCGTTCTTATAAGTGTTCTTTTGTCACAATGAGGTGCGACTGTGACCTACTGTAAATTCTGTCACCTAAAAAAATCTGCAGACAGTAGACAGACCACAGGATAATTACTTGGTCGTTCCAAACTGCAAAACATCTTCAGCTCAGACGCTTTTGCTTTTACAGACTCTCCTGTCAATTCAACCATCTCCTGTTGTGTTAAACAACTAACAGGGCACCGTGTACCTCACACTGCAGCTGTTAAAGCAAAAGAAGCTTCATGTCCTTGCTCACTAATAATAAAGTAGACTGGCAACTTTGAAGTATGAGAGTGTTGGAAGCTTTCCAATTAAACGCTCATCCTTCTTAGAGATAATTCAGGCTACAACATCTCTAGGGTACATTTTTACTTTGACTGTGTTAAAATAAATTAAGTAGTCTAAAAATATTATATGTTAATAGCATATAAATAATATCACATGTGCCAGATTGCAACTTTAAAGGTTGGTTAAAGTTATTGGACTGTATGTAGTGCTGGTGTTTACAACACAGAAGGCCATTATGTTGTCAGAGAATCTGTTTAAAATGCCCCCAAAGGCACCAACGGCACAAAAACTAAACATTGAGGTCTAGCTTGATAATTTGAAGTAATAGATGCTGTCTAGGCTATGTCAGTCAAAGTGGCCACGCTCCTTATCAAGGGTTAGGGTGCAATGCTGATGCACTGGTGCCTTTGTTAACCAGCCTTAGGTTGCCACTAGTGGAACTGCAGTTTTTGACTTTTTGACACTTTCATCAGGTAGCCTGCTTTAATAAAACTTGTCAGAAACTGAATTAAACGTGTAGATGCAAATACACTTAAAAAAAAAATGGCAGCTACCAAAACAACACAAAAAATAAATTCTGGCATGTTTATATGTATAATATTACTTCACTGTATCATTATACATATTTGTGTCTTTATACATTCACAAGATGGCTAACCCAAAGCAGAAACATCCCATCTAGAAATGGCCACTTCTGGCACATAGATAATAATGGATAAAATACAATAAACTACCTTCAAAGTAGAAATTCTCAAACTGGTGTTGCATCACATTTCACCTCTTTAATTATTATTCACGCTGTTCTCATTGTAGCAAACTTTTTCCTAACTGCTAAATTAAATTCAAAGTTAGCAGCTAGTTGGTAACAAAAACAAAACAAGAAAAAAAACCTGTAAAATTGTCAATCAATTTAATAGTCAAATATTTCTTGGAAATGCATCTATTGGATCAGTTAGCAAGAGGAAACTTATCTAATCCAAACATCCTCTAGCATTATTAGCTGCAAAATACCTCCATAACTCATCTATTATATTAATTCACAAAAAGAAAAAGTGAACTGGAAGTGTAACATTTACTTTTCCACTACCTTCTATCAAATCAGTCTTTACAATCATCTTCCTTATTCTTTAGGTGACAACAAAGGGATTGTCATTCCTTCTTAAAATCCCACTGGCAGTTCCTTTAGCCTGATGTTGGGGTAGAGAATAACACCATCCATCCCAAATGTGTTGAGTCACTCTTTAACAAGATAATATTCCAATAAAATCTAATTAAACCTCCATCCAGAGTAGTCACAACTTTGACAATTACCGCGGTGTAGCTCAAACAGAGGAGATAATAAAAAAGTGAAAAGTTTGATAACCTTTCTATATGAGCAAATCCTAACGCTGTTTGTCTCACATTATAGCCACTTAAAGCTTCTATTGCATCCTAACGCTGAAACAGGATGATTTGAAATGAGTACCTCAGTGACATTTACTTAAATGCAGATAATTGGCTTCTCCTTCCATAAGACAAACATGCTGGGGCTTCTTGCTGGGCTGTGCAGGTGTTATGGTGGATAGATTAAATGGCCAAGTGAGTCATCATTAAAAGGTTAATTAAATGAATTTCGAAACCCGACACATGAACCAGTTGGAGCAGTGAAACTCTAGTTAAATTAGGCCAATTTCAGAGAATCATTCCACTGCAGAGTAATTTATTATTGTTATTGTTATTATGAAAGTTAAGCAGCAGCATCATAGAGTAAATGAAGGCTGCTGGAGCCAATGAGTCATATGAAAATGCAATATATCTGTTTGACCTCTTGTGAAGTTTTAATTAAAGATGTATAGATATATATGCATGTTTTTTAATCTAACTAATGCTTACGTACTTTAGATATTAATATGTTGAGTTGGCTTTATGTAACATAATGTTGTATTTACAGTATTATGTAGACTTGCAGATATAATTAGACCACAGTGTTGACTTAATTGTCTCAATAACTACCATCAGTGGGAAAGACGTGAGCACTTATGCCTGCACTTGATACCTGGAGCATCTGTGGAGCGTCACGTAAAAGTTTATGTAATGAGTCTTTACCCTCTGATGATGTAAAGGACTAAAAATATGAATGCAGACTCTTCCTTAGTTACTAATCTCCAACACGTTGACTCCCATACTGCTATTAGCCAAAAACATGACATATCTCAGCATGCTGTGCAGTTAGTCCTTAAAAACGTGAAGAAAGTGGACATGTGGAGGGCAAAGGACGAATAGGGAGGGCAAAAGAAAACTATTTACAGCAGATTAATAATACATAAAAGTCCTATCCTTAACAAATAGGAAAATAAACAGCAAAGATATGACACAAGACCTGAGGGCTGCATCTGCCCCTCCACCTACTGTTCACTAAAGGCTCATCAGAAATGGTCATCAGAGTGGCTGTTAAGGAACCATTTTTAAGAAAGGGAAACATGGAGAAAAGGCTGAAGTACGCCAAATTACAAAACAAAATCTGTGGCTTCTTTTGACTTGGAAGAAGACAAAAAAGAGAGACAACAGTGAATGTCTAAAGGCATCTGTAAAACAATGGAGGCTGTGTCATGGTTTGAGGCAGTGTTAATGACCCTGTTAAAGTTCAGATCTCAACCTGATAACTCATATGCTGATGACCTACATTTGTTATGCTAAAAAAAAGCAGAATTAACACTGAAGCCATCTTGGAAGCTACAAATCCTATTTGCAATAACAGGCCTCCAATCCAACTGTTTGGTTTGATTTTTTTTTAAATTTTTTTAAGTATTGACTTTCGCTGTTTGAAGGTAACCGTCACAGGTTTCAAATCGAAACGTCTAACAAAAATTTATTGGAAAAGAATTGCTCTTTTTGGCAATGGAAGAATAAGGTTTTGATTGCACAGGATGAGAAGTACACACATTAAAACTAATACACACTCTTATTTAGTAGCTAAAAAAAAAAGCTCTAATACAATCTAGAGCAGCACTTACCACATTCCAAAATAAAGGGTTAAAAAGGATGGCAATCACAGCAATACACAAGCGGGAGTCGTAAACATGAATGTGTTTTAGGAAGGCTTCCAACAGCGTCAAGTCCATCTGAAAGAAATAACCACGGGAAAATAAGAGAAACAAAAAATTGACTTGTCAATTAAGGTCACATCCATTCCATGTAACATGACAATAAATAACAGATGCACCTTGTTAAACAAGCTAACTAGCCAGAACTAGCATTAGATGACAAGGCCCTGGCTCTACCGGCCAATTCCAAGCAAAGTCTACAAAACAATTTTCAGCTCATCTTTCATATACAGTCTATTACACATTATACAACCATCTTCCCTAATCTGACCAAAGTGTCCTTGACTTATGGTTTGAACTGGCCAGTTACCGTGTAGTCATGCTATATCAAAAGTTTTCGTACAGCGCTTTGATATTGAATAAGCAGGAGCAAAATAATCACAGATCACACAGTGAAACACGCTGAAGGGTGTAAAGATTACTTAATTAATTAATTTTTATGAAGTGCAGCAACAGCGATAAGATTTCTTTCAAAAACAGTAGGCTCCTCTGTGTGGTTTTCCACTTTATATCCATTGGCGCCAGTGATGGAAAGCAATAAAATCCGTCCTTAGGCTAATGCCCTCTGTTTACTTTGGGTGTCTTCTGTGTTCTTCACAGTGTCAGCACCAAAAGGGAATTATAGCCAAAAGTACTGTGAGCCATTTTGCAGTTAGTCAACAGGAAAGATCTGCAGACTTCATGACAGCATCGTGACTACATAAAATTTACTTCTTTTTAGCCTGAAGGCTTTGCTAAAGGAATGGTCTGGATTACAAGAGCTTGGAGGGGTTTGCAAACCCCTCTCTTGAAGAGGGGTTCTTACATTACGGGGGTAAAACTGAATAAAACTGGCAAATGGTAAGTAAATATCTGCCAAGATTTAATGGAGCAGGACAAAAGGGTGGTAAAAACACTTCACACTACCGTGTGTTTTAATTAAAAAGGCTAATCACAGCTAATCTTTTATCTGGAAGGATAAGAAAAGAGAAAAGGGAAATTGAACGGGTTAGCATTACTTTGTTGAGATATATGCAGCAGATAAGATATTACATGCTCACAAGATTCTGTAGGCTAACAGCTTACACAATTACATTTTTGCATTTTGCGTCTTTACATATATTTATATTTGTCATGTGTGGAAATGAAGCTAAACGTCTGCACAAAGTTGCCAGCCATCAACAGATACATACACAAATTAAAATATGAAAATAAATTTTAAAAAAATTACATTTAAAAATGTAAATAAAAATATGATGGGCTGAGTTGGATAAATATAATAAATAAATAAATAAATAACACGGGCAATAAATAACATGGGCAGCACGGTGGCACGGTGGTTAGCACTGTTGCCGCACAGCAAGAAGGTCCTGAGTTCAATTCCACCATCAGGCCGGGGTCTTTCTGTGTGGAGTTTGCATGTTCTCCCCTTGTTTGCGTGGGTTCTCTCCGGGTACTCCGGCTTCCTCCCACCGTTCAAAGACATGCAACTTGTGGGGATAGGTTAATTGCTTAATCTAAATTGTCACTAGGTGTGAATGTGAGTGTGAATGGTTGTCTGTCCCTATGTGTTAGCCCTGCGACAGACTGGCGACCTGTCCAGGGTGTACCCCGCCTTTCGCCCTATGACAGCTGGGATAGGCTCCAGCGACCCTGAAAAGGATAAGCGGAAGCGAATGGATGGATGGAAATAAATAACACCTAACCTTTAATCTTTTTTTTTTAATTTACTAAGACATATTTCGTTTATGGATATGGAAAATGTAATGTTAAAATGTTCTGCTTGGTATTTGTATTATTACTTCAATAATAATGAACTTATCTTTGAAATGCACAATTTAATAGCTAGCAAACATGGCACTTTCCCTGCTCCATTTTTCAACCTGCGCCGGTTACATAACCTCTTCTCTTTTAATCAAAATAAGAGCTTAACAATACCCTGCATGTCACAAAATATACATGTTATGGCTCAATTAAACAGACAAGAATTGTTACGTCTGTGTTTTATGCTGAAACTGCATTGTACTGGTCATAGTAAACACGTGTTCTCCGAATGAAGAAAGTCGTGCATTTATTTTGAAATTACCAACTGTACCGACTGTGTTTTCCGGCGGTCAGAGCTCAATAGTTCAGTCGGTCTGTCAAGAGACAAATGTAGCTTCTCAGGGAAGCGGAGCTACGTTACGCGGAACAACTTCCTGTGACACGGCTTCACTTTTACCTTGGAATAATCGACGTTGTTGAGCCCTCCGCAGCAGTCGAGCAGCGCGGGGTGGTTGTCTGTAGCAGGACTGTCGTTCCGCTCAGCGTCTGCGTTGCTGTCACTCATATACACGCAGAGTGGACGCTAACGGACACGCAGCACTCACACACCGGCGCGGAAGATAAGTGTTGCACAATAAACAGAGCAAAGTTCTAATTTATCACTAAAAAGAGGCGGCAGTTGTGGGTATCTACACATGTCCAGATAACCTCCAACCTTGCAGTGCATTGTGGGAAATGCGGTTCAATTTATTTATTTAATTTTATTTTAATTTTGCAGATGAAGAAAATAATAACAAAATAATGTTTTAATATTTATTTGAATATGTTTTGTAAAATACACCTGAACATTTAATATTTGATTTTTTTTATGTCCTTTTTTTTCCTCTTCTGTAGTAAAAAGGATCGCCTGTCGCTCTAGAGTGACATCTGCTGGCTTGAAAAAAATAACCTGTAGGACTCCCTCCCAGCTATAACCTCTATAAACCGTTCAGTTGTAAAACATATCAGTTTAAATGCAAGATGAAGATTGAAACTGATTTTTTTTGTAAGTGTTTTTTCCTTTTTTAGAAGTCTAAATTAAAGGGTAATAACTACTGAAGCAGACCTATTCAGCTTTGTTTCCCAGTTGGCTGAAGTTAATAATTCCTCTTTCGTTTCTTCCCTCACTTCTCTTGTTGTCTTTTTCTTCTTTAACTTTTATGTCCTTTCTTGCACTGAGTTTCGTTCTGCTTTTGCCTCATTTCTGTAAGCATCTTCTCTCCTTCTATCATTTTTTCCTCTTCCACTGTTTCCAACTCCTTTGTGTATTTACAGTTCTCTTTTCCTGACTCACTGTCTTTTCATTGACCTCTTCCTCCCGACCCACTTCCACCCTTGATTCCTTTTAACCTCGTCATTTTCTAATCTTTTTTAAAAAGTTCCTACAGCTCTTCTTCTTTCCTTTCTGCTTTCTTCTTACTCATCCTTCCACCTTGCTTTTATCATCCTATTCTCTGCTTTTTGTCCCCTTACATTTTACATACTTCCTTGTTGTATTGTCTTCCCATGACCTCTTCATTTGCATCCCTTTATCATCTTTTTTCCTGTTCCTTTTCAACATCACAATCTTATTTCCCTTCCTTCCTCATTCTCATTTATTCTCATTTAATCTATGTCCATACTCTGTCCTCTCTATTTTTCTGCACCTTTTCCTTTACTCTTCCTCCTCTCCTCCTCCAACTGCCAGTGTTTGTTTGGAGTCAGTCATTAAGCAGAAGACACCCCATGTAGAGGGAGAAATAGAGGAAGTGCATTGAAAGCCTTGCAGCTCCCTGACAGAGCATACCATCCATTTATCACTGCATGTAAGCCGACAACTTTGCCACATAAAATGAAATGAGCGCGAAATCTGTGAAGATTATGGACGTAATTAAGATTCTCTTCCCTCTGTCTCATTCAGCTCTGCTTGTTTCTCTTCCTTACTTCCTTGCTTACAACCTCCATAAAACACGTGTAATCACAACATTACAACCATTGTTGTGTTTGTGTGGCTAATATTCTGAAGCCTTGATGTTAGTAACAGCAGTGGTACAGTAACAGGTACTTCCAAGGAAATGCACTTAATATTTGATCATCAACAAGTGTGGCCACTTCAATAAAAGCTGAAGTTTTCAGTATGCAGGTCTGGAGCATTAAAGTGTGTGTTAACAATATTCCTAGGAGTGGACATCCCACCAAATTTACCCCAAGGTCAGACCATATAGTGGTTAGAGAAACTGATAACAAAGTGCTACATTTTCGACTCTGCAGCCCTCCATTAGCGGGTTAAATGTTAAAGTTCATGACAGTACAAAAAGACAGGAGGTAGTAGTAAAAGACTGAAAAAGTATGCCTGGGTTGCCAGAAAAAAGCCTTTTCTCTCTAAAAGAACATGGCAACATGGCTTAGGTTTGCAAAGGTGCATCTGAAAAAAATCACAAGAAAGTAACACTCGATAATACAGCTGTAATTAAATTGAATATCAGTGTATTTTATTTGAAATTACAATGTAATTATAGTTACAACTGTAAGTAAGGTTATAATGATACTAGAATTTCAGACTACTACAAAAAGAACCCAGGAAAATACTCCATACCCAATAACATTTTTGATACCATTGGGACGATTTTGACCTCATCCTGCAACAACAGAAGGAATGACTCAATATTCTGTCCTTGATTTGCAGTCTGCTAGCCGCTAAGTTAATGATAACAGGTGGTTAATGTGGCTATCGGGTAGCTGCTAACAGTTGAACGTCTAACGCTAACGTGTGCGACTTCAAGGTGACATTTATAATGACTGTCTAATACTTCAGTGTTATTGAAATGAGAGCTGTGGTGACCTCTTTAAAATTATTTTAAAGTTTTCTTCAGTGTTATGAATGTTAATTTCTTCAAGTGTTAGCGGGGAGAGGAGCTGTGTGCCTGTTTGCATGCAATGGTGCACTCTGAAGTACTGTGCCAGGTGGAGGAGGTGACAAGGGCACTGTTTATATTGATATTCTTGCAAATTAATATCAAATTCGAAAATAACTTTAGTGTCAAACAATATCTGAGTATCGGTTTTCTTTGACATCCCTAAATGTAAGTAAATTTAAGTAGTGCGTAATTAATTTTAAAGTAACCTACTGCGTAATGTCCTGGTAATTTAGCAGAAAAACAGACAATATTTCCCCATCTTAGATACAGGGGCTTTTCGGGCTTACAGTATACTTAAAGTATACCTGGAAATTAGACAAGATGGAGCCACTCCATAATACAGCCCACGCCCCAAAAAGTACAGCATACTTACAATGTGAGAGAGAATTTCAGCTAAAATACAGTTAAATTCCATTTAATTACACCCTTAGGGCCAGGCCATTCTGGAACAATGTCCTTCAGATAGAGATGATTGCCCATAGTGCACGTTTGGCACAGCATATTAACAGAAGCACCTCATGTCAAATATCAAACACTGACATGAAGAAGTGATGAAGCCACAGGATCTGGGCACCCTGCAGCCATTAAGCTGACCGTGAGCTCTTCTGTATTCTAGATTCAAATATGAGGCCATCTGTCCAACAGCTAAAGCTTGGTCCAGACTGAGTTTTCCAGTGGGACAAATATTCCAAGTAAAACAGCAAATCTACAACAGAATGGCCGAAGAAGAAAAGAACTGAGGTGCAACAATGACCCAGTCACATTCAAGACCTCAGTTAGATTTAGATGCTGTGCTGGGACTTTAAGATAGCTGTGCATAAAGGTATGCCTGCAAATTTCAATGAACTGAAGTAACACTGTAAGTAAGAGTGGGAGATGATCAAATTAATCAGCCATTCACACTGATATTAACTGAAATATTTTACCTGGTGCAAAATATGCTCAAGTGCGTAAATATGGCTCTATGAATAGTCTTTTATTGCAAGCATCTGTGAATAAGCAATATGTGGAACTGATTGAGAGACACTAAAGTGACTAAAGATAACAACACTATTCCTAAGCGACTTGTCAATCGTAGGATAATAATACATTTTCTTAGTCACTTTAATACCCTGCTTTATCTTTTATGCTCTAAGTAGCAACATCATTTACAAAATAAACATCATGCTGTGTTGAAGATACTTTATAGCAATTGAGATGATAAAATGATGATAAACTCATTCAGTTCATAAAATAAATAATTATTCATTCCAATAATAAATCTTAAATTTTGCAGCTGAATTTCCTACACGACTAAACTGTCTTTTTCAATAATATAATCTGTTACCTTATTTACTCATCCTTATTGGACAAAATTGCTGCTGTGTTTATTGAAATTGAGTATGCAGGACCAGCAGAGATTTAAGTCATGTGTTCTTAAGCAATGGCAGTAGCTGCTTGCATCACTGTGACTGTACAAATGATGGTTTTTTCCCCAAAGAGAGTGACTTGCATAGCAAATGTTTGATTCTAACTTTCCTCCTTCATTGCTAAGGATCATGAAAAAGTAACAATATCACATGTCTCTATTTCTCTGCTCATGAACATGATGTATGTTTTAATATAGTTCTTCTCAGAACCATATTTCGGTGTGTGCTTCAAAACAAAATTAGGACAATTCCTCCACCATATTTACTGTTTTACATTTGGCTTTGACACTTTAACACCTCTCTCCTTAGCACACATCGACAACAATTTGATCCAAAGATTTCAAATTTTGATTTATGGATTCATTGGACTCAATTTGGCCCTGCGACAGACTGGCAACCTGTCCAAGGTGTACCCTGCCTCTCACCCTAAGACAGCTGGGATAGGCTCCAGCGCCCCCCTCGACCCTGAAAATAATAAGTGGAAGCGAATGGATGGATGGATAGATGGATTCAATTTGGCATACCTTTTCTCCCTCTTTCATAAGAATGGCTTCTTGATAGCCACCTTTCAGCTGAGACTTTCTGATGAGGGTTTGGCAAACAATAGATCGATCAGCTGAATGGCTAGATGCATCTGTCAGGTCTTGCATTTCTATTTCTTATGGACCTGACTTCCAGATACTTCTTATTTGCTGTGGACAGTTTTATGATTGCAACTTCTTTTATTTCCTCTTGTCCAGTTACATTTTGCCAAGATAGGCCACTTTTTTCAGTTAATAGCTCTATGCCAATCACCTTATTGCTGCAAAAATACGACATTATGATTATCAAACTGTGATATCTAAAGAAATGCAAAATGTAAATGTTTTCTAAGTTGTCTGTTACTTGTAGATTTAGGTGACTTTAATATGTTTGAATAAGCCTTAGGTCATTGTTAAATGGCTTAACATATTCCCCTGCAAATGGTTGTATATAAGCACTCTACTGAAAATGAGTGAAAAAGCAACAATACCATAAGAAAAGATCTTGGTCCTCGGAAGCAAAATGAAAAGAAATGAGGGATTGCTCATAAAATTTGTGCAGTACTTTTTGCTTATGTAAATGCACAAAAACAATTTTGGGGGGTTTAGCTTGAGAAAAAATAGATGACTTCAATGAGTATGGTAACAGGCCGTTACGCCATCCCCCCTGTGTTTTTTGACCCATTTATCCACCACGAGGTCCTCACTGCACAGCTGAGGAGAGTTTGTGGGCTTTATTTCGGCTGCATTTATTACACACACCTGTCAAAAAACGACGGTGCACCTTTGATTACATAGCTGGCTGAATAATGGCATAGACACATCTGGTCAAAGTTTTGAAAGGCCTGTTCGGT